ATCTATGTCACGGTATCGACAATTGTAATCTACAACATAATCCTAATCAACGATACTCAACAGTACCAAATTTGTTCGACAACTCATATTGGGCAAGTCACCTTAACCAATAGCTTTGTCGGATTGAGGCTAGAAGTAAACTGCTTTAATTGGACACTTAAAAAAGCGCGGTTAAGACAGCGGTGGGGATGAGTTTGTTATACCAGTTGTGTCAGCGGTGAGGAAAATGCATGCGTTGTTGATAGCACCGCCACATACATGCCTATCATTAAATTGTTGTTGCGCTCCTTGAGGAGTGCCCATATTTCCGTTGAATGGATATATGGTATATTATGAAAGCCATTTTAATTTCACGTGGGTTACTTCTTCATAAGCATGACAAAGTGATAAACGGTCAACCTACGAAATAAGTTGTATTTGAATGCGTAAGAAGACGCATAATAACAATGATATCATTATCTGCTTGCACAGAGCAATGCACTCAAAAAACTTTGCAACCTAAAGTTCGGATTTAATCCCAAACTTGGTAAATTATCTACAATGGCAGAAGACCGCAGTTGCATACCTGTTTTTAAAACATGTTAACCACACGATACCAGATGAAGCTCGAAATCTCTTGTCATATTGTTCCAAAAGCGTAAGGCTATCAAAAACAATACTTTTTCCAATCGATGGTGCTCGATATTATTCGAGTTTAACTAAGCGTGGACGCGTTTTGTCACAGATGACACCTTTTGACAACAAAGTTAATGAAGAGGCAATGTATAGACATCCCCTTCCTACAGGCCCGGTGGCTGCAGTGGATAAAATGCTCACAAAATAGACGGAAACGAAACTTCGGTAGAGTGCTGAGACTGTACTGACCACGTTCGCGATGTAGCGAAACGCGTAGTGGTAGGTTCGCCCTCCGGAACAGGTGTCCATTTAGTTGTTGGCCTAACAGTGTCAGCCTGGTTAAAGAACAGTCGCCGGTCGTGTAGTCGCATGACACGACAAAGGCCCTTTTGTGTATTTGGATAAGGGACCGAGGAAAATAGATCTGCTGAAGATGTATTACAACAATGGAAAGGTGGGTTAAGAGTACTAGCGATAAACTATGCTCAGCATGGAATCGTTTTCTGTATGGTTTACGATCTTGTAACTGAACTAGACCACTATCGATGCCGAGCCAAAACAAAAGATTGTCGCCCGATTTGGTTTACCTCTCAAAGCTGTGACCGCTCAGTTGAGGACATAAAATAAAGAGGATCGTGTTTGTGTATTGTTCAACTCTTACCTACATTTTTATAATATTCCTACCCAATTTTTTGGGGTGAGCAACCAACATTGGGGGGGGGGGGAAAGGACCTAAGTAATACAAATCGACACTCGTTGGCAGCTTCTCGGACGCCCTCCCCCCCCCCCCCCCCAACTGAGGAATTACCACCAGCTCAGCCGTATTGCATGAAAAGAAGAGACATTGATTGTTGTTGATTGATCCCCGGTTGTTGGTGTCACCTGACCATTTCCCGCGGCGGCACCATAGACCACAGGAGAATGGCAAGCTTGCGATGGGTCAAGTCGTTCCTGGATTACTTCGGGGCTTGAGAATGTTCCCAAAAATGGGAGGGTGCAATGCTTACCTGAGGCAGATTGACTAGTGCCGGTATAACAAAGATACTTCTGCCTATCTTGCACGTTGGTGGAATCAAGATGATAGCAGAGCAAAGAAGAAGTGTGTGTGGGGGGGGGGGGGGTATCTTAAACGAAAATTTGAGTGTGGTAGTATGTTTTTCCGTGATCGCTTCCGATTTTTTCTGAGGTGATCTTCTTGTGTGTAACTGTGATACTCTCTCCATCTCGCGTGCTTTTTTAGAAAATGAAATGGTGACTGCAAATTCAATAACACTCACGTCTCGAGACTGCTTCCGTTGCCGTTTCACTTCTTTACCAGCTCGCAGAACGCGATACGTGCGACCATCTGGCTACGCAACGGGTGCGCAGCCAGAGCCTTGAAAATTGGGGCGGGGGGGGGGGGTGCCAAAGGTCCCCAAAGCCCCTCCCAAAACACCAATTTTGAGCTCCTTAAATCTGAGAGGCATGATTGGCGTCGTTTTGCTCTCTTATTCTCACCTTCTTTAACTGGGGCAGAACCCAGAAGGCTACCGGAATAGGCCATTCTGTTTGTATTTTTGCAGTACAAAAACTGAAGGAACTGAAATTGAATAATGACTGCAATGAAAAAGAATAATCCGCCTTGCGCGCTAAGAGGTCCCTTGAAGTCGTTTCTAAGCCGACGGAGCCCAGAGGCTTTGGCAGGATTTTTCGTTGGTCTGCACAGAGCTATAAATGGTCCGTAAACGTATGCTGTAGGTAAAGGTAAAAAACGTATGCCGAAGCCCAGCATTGCAATTTCCATTGGCCTGTGGCGTCGGTCGCTTAGGACATCAGTTCAGAACTTTGAACAGCCACCCTGACGGAGGTGGTACCAGCGCGATGTGCACATTATAATAGAAATGAATTTAGCTTTACAGCAATGCGACCTGGTGGCTGGAATGTGATGGTGGAAGTGGAAGAGTAGAGGTAGGACCTCGATGTCTCGTATTGCGAACATCTTAATCTCTCCATAGGACAACCTCAAAATTATGCAGGTGAGATGAGCGCACTAATGCGTGTTTTAATACAACGAACTGATTTTGAACGACACTCGCATTATTATGTTATGACGGTCATTCTCGCGCTCGGCGCCCGCCGCCCGGTGTCACCTGCAGTGACCTACGCCGTTCGGTTTTAGGGAGACTGTGACATCGGCTAAAGCTGCCACTGATCCTAGGATTGCGAGCGCGCATCGTCAAAACCTTTTTTTGTGTAATTTTTCGTGAGTTGATTCGCAAAATGACGGACGTTCTCAGGAAAACATGGCCTGGTCCTCTAATCTTTCGTCTCGTTGCAATCCACTCTATAAAAACTAGTGAACTCCCTTGCCTTTTCCGGACTAGGCGCCCGAGGCTAGAACAATAAAGGGCACATGATCATTTCCGGGCAAGGGCTGAAGCGCCGTTCCTTCCAAGCGTGGGGTGCCAACCGGCTGCCGTTCCAGCAAGACGGGGCGGGGATGTTGGGTACCCTGGTCGATCGGGGGGGGGGTCCGTAGAGGGATTCATCATACGTTGGTCCCCTCCCTGACGCGGGAGGCCCTCTGACCAGGGCAATTGGCCCCACATAGACACAGGAGCCCTCATGATACAACGAGATCTCTTATCACTGCAGGTGGTTCAATAACTGACACAGACACTGCAGTTCGGCTTAACGAGCCCTTGGCTAAAATGGGCTAGCGGGCTCGTTATGTACTGGAGGCCCTGGCTGGCGCAGGACCCTTCTACTGTCTCATTTTTGGCTCTCATCATAAACTGCTGATGAACATAAACTGTTATATCTCATTTAATTGTCAGATGGCCCCAACCAACGCAAGAGGCCTTCGGGCATTCGAGGTGCTGTCCCTGTCCCTGTTCAGCAGACGTTCTCCTGGCCGACTCAGCAAGCTTTGCCGACGCGGGGCCCCTGTAAGACACTGCGCCCCTGGCCGTCAAGGGCCCCTAGTTTTGCAGGGACCCCAAATGCAATTGCGAGGC